CATGTATCCATCATTTTAAATGGCAAAACTGTGGTTGGGCTGCAAAAACTTAAGTCCAGCTTCATGTTCAGAGTGTAGAACCACTCTAACAAATCCGGTCAGGCAAAAAGATCTGAAAGTCTAATCTTGCTTTTAACTGAGCTACAAATGTCTTTTTTGGCAGAGCTAAATAAATAAATAGATAAGAAGCATTTCTAAAGGCAGAAAATCTAACCYGTACTCTAAAGATTCCTTTTTGCTCCTCTAGCAAAGTTTCCACTTGAAAATGTGCCATTTTCTATCCAAAAGATTCCAGTTGAGCCACTTGGTGCTAGGGTTTTCTGTAAGTCAGCAGCAGTGCAGCACGCACGTGGGGCAGCATTTTGCCCGAGCAGGTATCGTGCCAGAAGGGCATCTCTGGAAGGGAAGGACTTGGTGAGGCTGCAGCACAGGCTGCTCAGGCTGTGCATTTTACACCTCTCCCAGCGATTTAACGATCAAAACTGAGCAAAGAACAAACGAGCACAAGACAGATACAGGCATTTGTTTTACTGGGGTTCGTGACATTGACTCTGAAGAAACCCTTCATGTTCTTTACAAGTTTTTTTTAAAAAAAAAAAACAGACAGGCATCAGGCTTTTATACATTCCAAAATGCATCTGAAGAGTCTAACAGTATCTGATAATTTAAAAAAAAAATGTTACAGAATATTACATTCTTCTACACAGGCAGCAGTGTGTACCACCAATAACACCAGTGACATTCAGTACTTCCAAATTACTTGCTTTCAGTGGCTTCCTTCTCCTCGTCCAAGTCAAAATAAAATGGCTTGTCGAAGCCCATGAGATGTTCATAATCCCGTGGATTTGGAAAAAGCACCGGATTAACAAGCATGGACTTGGTTTTAGCGTAGAACGTTGTGAACATCTTGCTGATGCCCGGCAGCTTCACGTCCTCCTGACGGAAGACAGTCGTCTTCTCCGCCAGGACGGCGTTGTAGGTGACAGCCGTGTACGTGTCGGTGGCCTCGCGGTAGTAGAGGCGAACCACGTAGCCCTTGGTGAGGACGTGCAGCGTCACGGGCGTCACAAACGTGAAGAAGCCGACGACGCCGCAGAAGGCGGCCTGCGCTAAGGCGCTCTCGAAGCCAATGCCCGTCTGGAGCACCAGGTAGGGCATCATGAAGACATTGAAGATGCTGGTGGAGTAAGAGAAGAATTTCACGCCTGTGCAAAAAAGAAAGGAAAAAGTGAGAGAAATCCAAGGTTAATACTTGTAGGTAAAGTTATCTCTATAATTATGTTTGTTTTGCTCCATATCACCATTGCATGAACTGAACAGTTAATACTGCTGAAAAATCTTCTTGGTTTATTTATTTTCTTCATTTTTACAGTCAAGAAGATACGAAGCCATCACTAGGAAGTGGAAAGTTCAGCCCTTTCTTCTTGCCACACTTGTGGTTTGTTTATTATGTTTGTGTCAGGGCTTATTAGTGCTGKTAGAGCTGGCTCTATTCCTACAATGAACACAGCTACTACACTATTAGCCATCATGAACACCTACGAAGTATTTGCTACGTAGAAACGGTACATTCCTAAAGAAAACCATCACTTAAGGTTCAGCTGGAGGGAGGATCACCTAAGGGTCTGCTGCAGAGAAGGAAAAAAAAGAGCTGAGAATATTTCACAGAGGAAGAGATTTTCCTTTGCTCCTGGGCAGCATAACACACTCCAGAAGTGAGCTGAGGGACCCGGGAGATGCAGGACAGCTGCAGAATTCACTGAAGACCCCAAAAATCATTTGAAGAAAGGAAATATTAACATTAATCAGCATAAACCAAGGAAACAAACATCAACGACCACATTGTGTGAGTGAGTGAGTGAGTGTGTGTGTGTGTGTGCGGGGAGAACCTTGGTTTTCACGCAGCTGGGAAAAGCTGGATCCGCTCTAATGCTACATTTCCTAGCAGTTAAGTAGGTGTTTTAAGAGACAGGCAGTGGGGGGTAGCGAGGGGCACGCACCGAGCACGGCCCTGGCGAGGTTCCCTCTGTAGATGAGTCTCCCCGGCTCGTCGGGCTCCGGCGCGGCGGCCGCGCTGCGGCTGCGGGACGCGGCCTGCAAGGCAGAGGCAGCGCCACGGGCAGCGACCCCCGGCCCCAGCCCCGCGGCCCAGGGCCTGCCGGGGGCCGCAGCTTCCAGCGCTGCTCTCCCCAGCCGTAGGGATGGTTATTGTGGAATCACGGCACCATCCCACTTGGAAAAGCTCTTCAGGATCACCGAGTGCAACCGTAATCCRTCCCCACGCTGCCGTCAAGCCGTGTCCCTGCCCACCTCATCCGCACGTGTTCTGAGCACTGACAGGGACAGTGACCCCCCTCCACACACACACACTGCCCTGGACAGCCTGCTCCAAAGCCTCACCCCTCTTTCCGTGCAGAAATTCCCACTAATGTCTAACCCCAACGTCCCCTGGTGCAACCGGGGACATCTCCTCTGCCCTATCCACAGTTATTCCGAAGAAGGGACCGACCCCGCCTCACTGCAGCCTCCTCTCAGGTAGCTGTACAGAGCGGTGAGGTGCCCGGGGGCCTCCCCGTCCCCACGGTGAACAGGCCCGGCCGCCCCGCACCAGGCCTGCGCCCGGCCCCTCGCCAGCCCCGCTGCCCCTCGGGACGCCCCAGCGCCTCCGCGGCCCTCCCGCGGCCAGCGGCCCCTCAGCTACACAGCAGCCCGCACAGGGCCGGGCCGGGCCTCCCTCGGGCCGCACCTGCAGGCGCCCCGCAGCCGGGGACGGGGACAGGGC